GGGAACAAAACTCATCTCCAATCACCTGTGAGCAGAATAGGATTGGAGAGATGGAAAAGGAGAAAAACACAAGAGCTTCAAAGGGGAGCTGTAACATAGCCACATATGTATAGCCTACTAAAATATTGGCGAACCAAATCTACTATTAGATTTTTTTTTTTTTTTTTTTTTTACAGCCCGTGATAATTAATACATTTCAAAAACCCTGTAAAAAAATAATAATAATTAGGCTACCTTATAAAGGAAAAAAGGCATCCCACTCTTCTATGTCTACTACTGTCATCGCTTGGATTACAGCGTCACGCGCCCTCTTTTTAAACATGACTTTTCTTCAGTCCCTCATTGAAGAAAAATAACGTTCAAAAAGAAGGCGCGTGCGGAGGGGTGGAATATTTGACAAATGAGTGATTACGCTACAGCACTTATATTTTTGCACTGATTGGCTATTAACTGTGAGCAGACATCGTGTCAATCAATGCATTGGAGAATACAGTGAACGTAAATGAAAAGAAACGAAGTTTCCGGAAAAGAAACCGGAAGTCGTTTAAAAGTCTCACAGCGTCAGCGAGCGCTGGCACAGGTACAGACCTCTGACTACAACATGTTTAGTAAATCTCCATCACGTGCTTTCAGGTGGAGCGGCATTTAATACACAGAGCCATAGATCACTGCTATATCGCGTTCATAATCGCAGATGAGTCATATTCGATTATGAACGTGATATTGCGTAGCTTGTCAGTGTAAGTGTTTTTATTAATGCCATTCATGTTGGCTATAGCACTAGTCAACTAAATGAATGTAACATGGCAAAGATGAATGCACTTTTGAAAGTTGAATGTAAGGGAAATGTCATTTTGGAATTTCGGTAGTTTAATATATTATTTTTCATGTATGTTCGTGATGAAATTTTCTTTTATTGTTGTAATTAATTTATAGCATTAACTAGATGACCCGTTGAATTCATTTTGGGAGCGATGACTGATTGAATGTATTTTTAGTCCAGTGCCTGTATATAAGATTAGTATTGACCAAGTTCAGAGGCTGTCATATATGGATCAACTTACTATGTTGTGTATTTTCAACAGTTTCAATATGAAAAATAACTTATATTGATTCAATGGATTTATTGCATTTTGAAGAAAAAAAAGTGTCATGGATTTATTGGATGCGTGTGTGTGTGTGTGTGTGTGTGTATATACCTGAGGGTTTCACATTGCATAAATATTAGAAATTGCACATTTTAAATGTGATGATAGTTTTACATGTGTCTAATTCAGATACTTAATCTAGAAATATTTTTCTGATTCTAGAAGGATTACTGACATAAGTAGACTAAATATAGTCTACTCCTACAACACAACACGACTTTGGTAATGATCCAAGGTGTGTTATATAATGCAGAAGGCACTTTCCCCTTTCTATGTCAACTTTTGCCTTTACGTTAAATACATTGAAAAGGTTGAGGCTGTTCAACATTAAAAGGAAACAGGTAGCCAGGATTTTTTACATTTAAAATATAAGCTTTTGGTTTAGTCACTCTTGCGCATGCAACCCATATACCGTAAATCTATGCATTTTATAATAAGTCTTTAGCCTTGACATAAAAAAGCTCATGATCTCTAGTATCAACAATAATATAAATTATGGATTATCTGTCATCACAGATTATTGGTTATTATTCTGTGTGCAACACAAACAAGAGACAGTGTAATATTCAGTGTACACCCTGGTTTTCACTCATTCTATTGTGAGGTTATAATTCGTTGAGTGCTAAACTGAGCCCAAGTGATAGGACCTGGTTTTTTGTTTTTTTTTGGAGTTTTTGATAACGGAAGTCTGGTGAGAAGAGAAGAGAAGAGTGAAAATCTAAGGAGAGATGTTAGTTCCAAAAGCATTTACCCAAAATGGTTTACTAAAATTTATGCTAAGATCTTTCTTGGAATCCAGTATTTACAATGCCACAGAACATGTGCTCTAAAATATGATGGTATGAATAGGAGAATTACAGATGCCAAAGAGAGAAGCAGCATAAGGTGATGAGAAGGAGCTTTTTTTTATTTTATTCAAGCTTCTCGACAATAAATTAAGGACATATGAAATCAAAGGAGTTAAGACATACTAAAGAGAGAAAGGAGTGGGGAGCTTACAGAGATGGAAGTTTTATTACAGAAAGCAAAAAATTTCTGTACAAGTGATGGGACAATAGAGTTGAGTGCTCCATCCCCACTGAGAATAGTGTGATGGAGAAAAGCAGCAACAGAGGAAAAATAGAGAAACACGGAGGAAATGAAGGAGTTGCCGCTCAGATGGTACCCGGAGCCAGAGATGAGATGTAAAAAATTTAACTGTGCAGAGGGAGAAAAAAACAAGTTGAAACAAATGAGAGATGGTGATATTAAACAATAAAGGGCATGCAAGAGATATAAAAAGACTGTCGGTGTCACATAAATATACACATATATATGTATATATTTATATATTGGGTCAATCACACAATAAGTATGTTCATGCATGTGAGAAAAGGATTCCATCAGGCATTATGAGATTAATTTTGTTTTATTTTATTCATATATAAATAATTTAGCAATTTGCAAAAATTTAAACATAATGTTGACATTTAAAAATGAATTTAAATAAATGAGAAAAGAAAAAAATTAGTTGAAACAAACGAGAGATGGTGATATCAAACAACAAAGGGCAGGCCAGAGATTAAAAAAAAAAAAAAAGAGTCATCATGCTTTCCAGATGAAAGACAGTGTGTGTTGTTTGTGTGTAATCTCATCTTTTATACATCATACTGAGTAAATCAACAGAAAGGTTTATGTGAGGCAGGCTTTAACTTAATACTGGGTTCTGTCTAAAATCCTTCATCAAACCTGAAAATTAGATTATACTAGCAGACAGAGAAACTGGAAATGCTATTAAACCAAACACGTGTGCACACTCTCATACACAAACACGAGTAACAGGTTGGGATAGTTACATGGAGGTCATGTCATTGAGAGCGTGGTCCAGCTCCTCGCTGATGGCTTTGTACTTGAGTTTCTGAGCATACAATTCATCTAAAGTAGCCAATTAAAGGCCAGAACAGCAACGGGGTGTTGAGTGGGGAGGAATGGAGAAGAACGGAGAAACAAAAAATAAGGAAGAAGAAGCAATGCAAAGGCGGATCGAACAATGAAGGCCAGAGAGAGACCGATAAAAGAAAAGACTAAGAAAACAGTAATTAAACAGAAATGAAATGAAGTGAAATTACCTTCCTTAATCAAGAGAAAAATACAATCTTCCAAATACTTAAATAGTACAGTCTAGTGGTGGCGATATGTACCACTGCTAATTTAAAGGCATATCCTTTCAATCTTTATGTAAACTGTTAATTGTAACAGATAAACGCAAAAAGAACTTAAACCTGATATTCCAAGGATGTAACTAAGGATTTAACCCGTGTCTAATAGCAACAGTAAGGTACAAGTTGACATACCCTCCAGATCATCAATGGTCTTCTCAAGCTTGGCGACTGATCTCTCAGCGAACTCGGCACGAGTCTCAGCCTGGAACACAGAGAGACGTCAGGCCCTCTTATATGTATGCACACACACAGACACACAAGATGGTAGCTGAATGAACTCACCTCCTTCAGCTTGTCAGTCAAGACCTTGATCTCATCCTCATATTTGTCCTCCTTAGCAGAGTACTGTAGATGGGAAAGACAGAAGAGAGGATTAACGTGCCATCTATAAACACCAACACACAAAACATATATACACAGATGATCACTCACACATACACATAAACACAAACATTTACACGCTTACCTTCTCAGCCTGGGCTTCCAGAGACTTCATGTTGTTGGTCACAGTTTTCAACTCCTCCTCCAGCTCAGAGCATTTACTATAAGTGGGAGTCACAGAAAATTTGACACAAAAATGACACACAGAAACTAAGATATGCTACTGTGTTTTTAAAAGTATTAAATTAGTTTGTTTTTACCTCTCATTGAGCTCAGCACGCTCCTCAGTACGCTCCAGCTCACCCTCAACAATCACCAGCTTACGGGCCACCTGTGTACCATCACAAAGAAAACATTATAAGTGTACCTGTGTTTAGCTGTCCAAGGGGAAGACCTTGTTTATGGGAAATTACTTATTCATAATTGTATTGTATTTATCTATAATACATTATAAGAGTAAGAAAGAGAGAGAAAACCGACCTCCTCATACTTGCGGTCGGCCTCCTCAGCAATGTGCTTGGCCTCCTTCAACTGGATCTCCTGCAGCTCCATCTTCTCCTCATCCTTCAGGGCCCTGTTCTCAATGACCTTCATGCCTCTGAGAGAGAGAGAGAGGGAAAGAGTTTGGATGTTATTATAACTCCCTAAAAATCATGAGACCTATTGCATATGTTTAAGAAACTATTAAATTAATTAGATTAACACAGCATAAAAAGTAGCTAGTTTTGAAACTTCAAACGTCTATAACATCCCTTAAATCTGGGATTCTGGTCTCTTATGTCAGATGTTTTGGCCTCTACTATATCTTACAATTAAAATTAGACCGTAAAATCTAATGAACTGATATTCAGTTCACTGT